CACCACACGCCCTAGCAGCGCATGGGTGTCTTGAGTAATTTTTGGCAATTGGAAAACTTCAAATCGCTAGCCAATACCTATAACTACAGTACCACTACAACTAGGGGAGTCACTTTTGGTCTTAGACCCGGGCCAAAAAGTGGCAAGAGATAGCTAGAAAACACCCAAACAGTAGGCTCAAAACCTAGGTTTTAGATCGAACTCTAAACACTCCAAATTGATCCTAACCAACCATACCATCAGCTAGAACACGAGGAGATGATGAAGATTTGTACCTTGGCCTACCGAAATCGGCACTAGAATCGCCGAAAACGATGATTGGAAGTTGGCCCAAAAACCAGTCGATGCTGCCACCTATTGCTGGATTTTCAATCAGAGAAATGGGGTGGGCTTGGTAGAGGGGGGAGGGAGGGAGGAAGCGAGAGAGAGAGAGAGAGAGAGAGAGAGAGAGAGAGAAAGAGAGAGAGCTCGTGCGCGTGCACACTAGGGAAGAGAGGGAGATTCAGGTATTTAGGGTCTTGACAAATTTTGAAATTATCGATATGCCATTTCAGTTTTCTGACCTTTACAAGCTTGTCACAGCTCGGAATTGAGTGCGCCGTCTATCTACAAATTCGTATCAGCGAGATTTACGCAAAGATGCCACTCAATTCCCTAAAATCTTTCTAGATTAAAAATTGGTTGAAGTGACCCTACTCTCAAGGGCAAAATTGTAATTTCACAAATAGAAATAAATTGAATAAAACAATTAAATTGGGTCGTGGGTGTTACATTATTACTACTAGTGGTCACTAGAATGTTTCTGACACCTACCGCTTATTCACCTTTCCTGAAGCTGAACTTATCCTATCTGTTCTTCTGAGTTACAATACTAGTGATTGTAATATTTGGCATTTTACTCGTAATGGTCGATATACAGTTAAGAGCGGATATTGGTTTGCGTTGGAATTTCAAGCTCAGATGGTGTTTTTGTCTGTGTAGGGTCTTCCTCTTCCTCCTTAAACAGTTATGAAAGCATCTATGAAAGCTTAAAGTTTCACCGAAAATGAAACATTTCCTCGGGCGTCTCACCCACAACGCTCTCCCTACCCCTGAGGTGCTTCTTCGGTAGAAAATAGTCCAAGATATCACTTACTTTCATTGTATGGGTCAGTCTAAAACTGTGGCATGCTCTTCACCATTGCACGGTCAATTCTTCTGTTTCGCGCCTAATGGGTTGGGCTCCACTTCTAGCCACAGCAGCAACCACCTCCACAGCTGCCACTATTCGACTGAACCCATTGCTCTAGCCACTGGGTCATGACGACAACCAGCAGGGCCCACGTAGTTGGTCCTTGCCACGAAGAAAGAAAAAAAAAATACAAGTTTGACCTACCTTGGTCTGCACAGCAACTCCTTTCCTCAACAATCAATACACTCCTTCAAGATCTCTCTCGCAAGTTAGAAAGTAGAGGATGATAAGTTTGCAATTTGAAGATGAGTGAAAAGAAACTTCGTATTTATAAAGGTTGGGCATCATAGGTCAAAGATGAATCACAAGCCTATTCCCATTAGGAGCCCAACCCCAAGAAGAAGTCAAAAGTCTAATCAAATTAGGAGCTCAACTAGCAAATGGAGCCCAAGTCAAAGAAGAAAGGCTAGATGCAGTTGGAGAACCCGATCAATATTTCTCATCTGATTTTGTGGGAACATATATTTCTTCGGCCAATAAGAATACGACACGTGAAAAAAGAATATTCCTTAGGTCAAACTAATTACCATAATTAAATCCTATTTAATTAGGGAAGTTATCTTTGATTTAATATAGGAATATATCCCCAAATCAAGGAACCAATTTCCACCGAATCTCTTGGAGTAATTCCTATCATCTTTTTAGAGAAGAATAATCCTAACCAAATAAGGATTATTCTCTCAAAACCCTAGCACACTAGGAGATTATAAATACATGGCTACACAATACATTCAAGGTAATTCTAAATTCCTCTCTCAACACTCAAAGCCCTAGAAAAATCCTCTCTCTCTCTCTCTTCTCTTGTCGAATCTTTATCAAGATCCAGTTGAATTAACTTAGGCATCGGAAGCCTTTGACCAACACCCTGTGGGTGTGGTCTATTTACTTCTATTTATTTTGCATGGATTGAGGAAGAGAGAGAAGGAAGATCGAATGTCAAGGAATCAACCCGCAAATATTCCCCATGCCGAATTTTGCTCAAACCGTTGGCCTTTGAGATTAGATTGCATATACTTCATTGAGGTTAGTTTTGTCATTTGCTTAAGTCTTTTTTTTTTCTTTTTTTTTATAATGAAATCATCAATTTTTGGACAAATAATCAACAGAAAGGGGTTTTGTGAAAACAAACTGAAACCTCAGGAGGTGTTCATATAATTTTTGAGACCTTAGGGGGTTTTATTAAAACACAAGAAACCTTAGGGGGTGTTAGTGTAAATACTTCAAATTTTTCAATGTCTTCATCATCTCAATATTATCGATATTACAGTTATATTATAGCAATATTTTTGTCAAATGTTGCTGAAGAGTGAGAGAAATTATCGACGTCGATATTTTCTGATATTATCGATACTCATACGATATGTGTATGGATATGTTCCAAAATATTCTAGACCCAAAAAACGATAATATCCTCGATATTTCGTTAATATTATCGATATTTTAGTCCTTAGTCAAGACTAGAATTCGACTATTTAATTTTGATATCTTCTCTTCCCAAGCATTAAAATTTCAAACTATAGCCACGAATACTACTACGTATCATATCCATTTGTAATTTTTTATTATTTATCTTCATCATTTGGTAATGATAGTATCGAATTCAAAAAAAAAAAATTAATATTTTAATTAGTGGATGCATGTTTTTGCAAGGGTAAAAAGGCATGGTGAGATCCACCATTATAGGCCACGGACACCATTTTCCGTGCTTAAAAGTTAATGGCATTGTGCATCTACTATAATTACATGTTTTGTGGTCAATCTGTAGCCAACACCCTTTGGCCATGGTTGTCTGTAGCGAATATGAATATAGGTCACTAGCGCAGAGCCACCTAAGGACCAAGGTGGGCCCAGGTCCCCTCTCATATTTTTTACTTTATATATATTGTTATATATTTGCCTTTTGGAGTAAAAACTCTTTTAATGTTTTTGTTCTCTTTCTCTTCCACTTTTGATTAACTTAAGCTTTATGAATTTCCCTCTTTCCAATTTTACATGTCTAAGTAGGGCACCTTAATATTAGGAATTATGAACATTGTTTGTATTTCTTCTCTCTGTTGAAGTATAAATTGTTAAATTTTGAGTCTTTAATAATGTAAATGATGAGATTAATTAATATTCAATCATTTTAAAATATGAAATTCGGGACAATTATGACTGTAATAAATGGATAAATTATCAATCAATATGAAATGATATTATTAATTAACCGGTTGGCGCTTGAGGGCTCATATTCGAACTATTTTAATTTAAATTTTTTTTTTTATAAAAGGTCCTCTCTAATGTAAAATTCTAACTCCGCTACTATAGGTTATGAGTTGTCTATGGCTTCTAACGAGGTTTTCTAATACTGCAATCATTGTGCTTTCTTTACTCACTACTATCAAAGCAAAAGAAGTGAAAAATAAAAGAAAAGAAAGAAAAGAACGGGAAACTACCAACTGGTCCAAGCCCAGTCCGGGAGTTGGTTGAATTGAACACGAGAAAAGTAGCCCGTACCTCCCACTTGGGAGTGTTATTTTCGTCAATGTAGAGACAACCCGATTCCATTCAAACTTTTACGGCATGCATGTCTCCTGACTTTTTCCTAGTTGACAAAACAACAAAGACTTTTCCTATCTAATTCTCAAAATCAGAGAGGTTTAGGTTATACTTGGAGCTTTGTAATACGAGTCAATTAAATTAATACAAATTTATAAATAAACCCAATCCTAGACATGTATTTATAAAAAAACTCAAGCACTATTTAAACATAGAAACACACCCAAAATCAACCCCAAAGTCAACTTTTTGGGTGTGTTTATAAATGGGTTTTGAGTGTGTGTAATGATAGGTTTTGGGTGTGTTTATATGCTTAAATAGTGCTTGGGTTTTTTTATAATTTCAACCCCCATTTTGGGTGTTTTAGTGAAACTCCCTTAAATTAATTAGACGACTTACTCTACATATGTGTCTGTGATATGTTGAAACTGATCAAATTTAAAAATTCAATCTCAAAGAAACATATCTTCTCTATGTATATTGTATATTTATACATAGGCGGTATATGGCAAAGTAGCATTGCAATTTTTACCTTTTTTCCTTTTTTTAATATCATCGAAATGGCGTTGTAAATGCCAATGGGTTCTTAGCTCAGTGGTAGAGCTGTTGGCATGCACATGCTAGTTAGTAGTCTGAGGTTCGACCCCATGATACCATGTGTGTATGAGAATATACCCTCTTTCCCCTTCCTGTGGTTATAAAAAAAAAAAAAAAAAAAAAAAAAAAAAGGCATTGCAAATGAGTTTTGGTATCCTCAAGCTAGCTCAAGGTGTCTTTGAACGAGGAATATCTAGTTTATATATATATACATGAAGGCAACTTTGGTGGCTCATAAGCTTATACCTAGGGAATCGTTGAATTTTTGAGAACTATATGTATTATTGGGGGGGGGCCTAGTTGGCTTATCCTCTTTTGCTCGCTAATTGCTGATATGGGTGTCGTCCATCTTCTTCTTCTCCTTTTTTTTTCCTTCGTGTTTTACATGGATTTGGAGGTGTACAGAAGTCAAACTTTGCTTTATTTGGTTGGATATGCTTCCTTTTCTTTTTGTATTGGAGCCGATGGTGTCCCCTCCACCTTTTGGTAAACGCGTTCAGGCAACAAAGTTTGAAAATGGAACGCCTTCACAGAAAACGTTCAAATCACCTCTCATCTCTCATTCCATGCATGCACAATCTTACTCTATATATAGACTGCTTCTTCAATCCTTCTCCTTACACCGCAAAGCCCAGCTTCATCTCTTCAGCTCTCATATTGATGAAGCTTGCAATGGCCTCTCTGTCCTACTTCTTCATTGTTGTTACACTCTTCATCATCCCTTTTTTTGGTTGTTGTGCTAATGCACAACTCTCTCCCAACTTCTATGCAAGAACTTGCCCAAGTCTTCCGACCATCGTTCGCAATGCTATGAGTCAGGCTGTTGCCAGGGAGGCTCGGATGGCTGCCTCGATCCTTCGCTTATTCTTCCACGACTGCTTTGTAAATGTGAGAACAATACAGTAGTGTTTTCTTATATCAAACAATCTGATGTGCTATCGTAGATAAAAGATTGTTAATTATATGTGGAATCATGTTTAAATATGTTGGCAAAGAGAAAGGGGTCTCATTTTAATTTATGCCTATGAGCCACCCAAAAGTCAGGAACGGCCCTAACTCGACTGTGTCCCATTACCATTTCAATTGTCTAGTACTAATATGTTGTTTTTCAATAGGGTTGCGACGCTTCCATACTATTGGATGACACGGCCACCTTCACCGGTGAAAAGAATGCATTCCCAAACCAGAACTCAGCCAGGGGATTTGAAGTCATTGACACCATCAAAACCCGAGTGGAAGCTGCTTGTAATGCTACTGTATCTTGTGCAGATATTTTAGCACTCGCATCCCGGGATGGAGTTGTCTTGGTTAGTAGCTAGCTACTATATTAATTTGACGCAATAGGCTACTGATATGCATCTTGTGAAGCATCAAGCTTTTCCATGGATATTAATTTACCATAAAATTTGGCCATATTTTGTGGTAGATTGGTTTCCAAGCTGTGGTACAATCATTTCCTATTATTTTTTGTCCTAACAATTTGATTTCCTATTATTTTTAAGAAAATATCTCACTTGGGAGTTGTGCCCTAATTTCTTTTATCGACATTAATTTGGAGTTGAATTATGTTGTGCATGTCAAATTTTCAATCTAATACATAAATTTTAGATCTCTATTTATTATTATTATTTTCTCTGTTTGGACTAGCGTATTTTTTTCAACTATGGTCTCCACGACATACGACTTTCAGAATGATTATAGAATATTACGATAGTACGAACACGTGATACATCTTGTAAACGTGTTATAATATAAGTGGATATTTATTAATATTATTTTCTAAAGAGGGAAAAATAAATCATATTGGTCACTAATATTATACACACGTATATAAGATGTACCACGTGACCATATATTATTGTAGTACTTTATAATTTGTCTGACTTTCGTGGTGTCTCTGGTCTAATTTTGCTGCATGCCAACTCAACAACCTGCATGGGGACAAAACCTAACCTGCTACGTACATATTTTAAAATATCAGATTAGTCAATGATTGAATTAACCCATTTTAAAAATTTGCATGGACATAAGCCCTCTACGACCCAATCTACATTACCAAGATATCATACATATTCTATCCATTTATAAGGAAAAGACCTCTTTCGCCTTTTCTTTTGTTTTGATAACGTGATATTCACATGCTCAATACTTTGTTTCTTTGTTTAGCTTGGTGGAACCTCATGGACGGTAGCCTTAGGCCGAAGAGATGCAAGAACAGCAAGCCAAAGCGATGCCAACAACCAACTCCCCTCCCCCTTCGCCAACCTCGCAACCCTAATCTCGAGTTTCGCAGCGAAAGGCTTAACCGCCAGCGATCTGACCGTGCTCTCTGGTGGCCACACAATAGGCCAGTCTCAGTGTTTTCTCTTCAAAACCCGCATATACAACGAGACCAACATTGACCCCAGCTTTGCCACCACTCGTAAGGCTACATGTCCAGCTTCCGGTGGCGATACGAATCTTGCTCCCTTCGATATAACCCCGACTCGTTTCGATAATAACTACTACAAGGCCCTCGTGGCTCGTCGTGGTCTTCTTCATTCCGATCAGGAGCTCTTCAACAGCGGGAGTCAGGATGCCTTGGTTAGAACGTATAGTAACAACGCCGCCGCGTTTTCGAGAGATTTTGCTGCAGCCATGGCGAAGATGAGCGCTATTAGTCCTCTAACTGGGACAAATGGAGAGATCAGGAAGAACTGCAGACTAGTGAACTAATTTTATAAGGAATTTAGTTTTGTGCAACTGATAAATATTGGGTGACATATAAGTTTCCTTTATAGACTGCTAATTCAAATTAAAGTGCACCAAATCTGTGTGTAAAAATTTTCATTCCCATTGGAGAAGTATTGGCTATGAAATTTGAAAAATATCAAACGGCAATAACCAATAATTTGACTAACTTTATGTTGTTCAAGTCCTTAATCTACCGAAATAAAATTTAGGGGATGAGTTGACACTTCAGTGATAGTTTAGTGAGTGTCTTCTAGAAGGGAGGGGTCCTAGTGAGTGTCTTTAAGAGCTCGAGAGTGTGGAAGTGTGCATATTGGACATTCAACGCGAATATCCAAATTACATAAATAAGTAAAATTACTTTATTTTTCAACAGGTCACAAACGAGGTTTAGGGATTAACATGAAAAATAACTCGATCTTAAAGGTCACCAATAGGTCTACAAGTTATCAACACGAATCGCGATCCGTCAAGGTTGAATTGGCCTACTAAATTTTATGAGGTCTGTAATCTCACTTTGTCTTTTTAATTAGAGACAAAAGTATAATCAATTGGCGCATTCATTTGGCCAAGTATGCTGTCCCATGTACGAACTTCACTATTTGGGGTTGAAAAGGGACTGGATTGGCTTTCCCTTTTCACTCATGATGAATGATTTTGTACTGGGTACTCCTAGTTTTGATAGAAATGAAACTTGTTATTTTTCATTAGTATGTAAAACATCGGGGTGTTCCATCCCATGTGATTCTTGTCTCTCTGTTTTGGCAACAACTGTCCACAACACTTGCCCTGCACCAAAGGCACTCGATTCTTGCCCGCAGCCTGATGGGAGCGTGAGATCACGCTCCACTAGGCGTGCGTGGGTCTTTCACTCTCCTTTGTTTTTTGTTATATAACTAAAAATAAAATCTAAAATCACTAGCATGCTAATTAAGGCCTCTTTCCATTATGCTAGACTCAATTTGCCACATTGGTTCCTTTTATAAGGAAATAAAAAGAGAGTTTAAAATATTTTTATATAGGTTAAATACTTTTTTGCTCATTGAGTTTTACATGAAAATTCAATTTGGTATTTAGCTAAATTGGTCACCATGTTTTCCTAAGTTTACAATTTATAGACATTCTTTTATCTTTAGTTAAATGCAATTTTTTTTAGGAAGTACCTTCGGTCTTCTTCCTCTAACTTAATGAGTTAGGGTATGTTGTGCTATTAGGATTTAACAAATTGGGGAAAATCTTGGGTTGAAATCAAAATAGTGAGGTATGAGGAAAATAAAAAAGTCAAACCAAATTAAAATGAAATCAACAACTTACCAATATATTTTGGTGCTCTATCACCTTGATTACGTTTCCTTGCCATTCAAAGTCACAATACGGTTCTCACTCAATCGATTGAGGCTTTAATATAGCATCCAATTCGTGACCTTATATGTTATACCTCATAATTCCGATTTCAATCCAAGATTTTCCCCAATTTGTTAAACCCTAATAGCACAATACACCCTAACTCATTGAGTTAGAGGAAGAAGATTGAACGTGCTTTGTAAAAAAAAATTAAAAACAAAAACTTCACTTAACAAAAGATAATGGAATACCTATAAATTGTAAACTTTAGAAAACACAGTTACTAATTTAGCGAAATTTTTTTCTTCTCACTGGCCAAATTGAATTTTCATGCAAAACTTACTGACAAAAAAGTATTTAACCCTTTCTATTTTACAAGCGATAAAATACTTACAATATACTTTTACGAATGGTTAAAGGCACTCACAATAATTTAGAATCAGCCAATACATTCACAACAAGATTATAGCTATACTTATTATATTATGAAACATTAACTTAAATACTTAGCTAATCCTTAATAGAAATATGTAATCAATTCTTAATTTAAATATTTATTAGAGTAACTACCTAGATATCGAACTCCTCCGACCAGGTGGAGAAAAATACAACTAAGCCAAGAGCTAAATGATGTGAGAGAGTAGAGAGCGAAAAAGAGAGAAGGTGGGTGTGTGAGAGAGTCGCAATCTCACTATCACATGGGGTCTTTGGCTTTGGGGCCAAAGCATCAACAAGCAGAGGCACAGCCACAGCGACAGCCAGACCACAATGAGCCACTGAACCACGTGACTCGCCGAGCCCCCGATATGGACTCCGACAAGGTACTCTCTCACTCTCTCTCTCTAGCTCTCGCTCTCGCATTTCACAGCCACCTCTTTGAGCTTTGCTGTTTGCTCTCTTAGAGATTCTCCTTCTCTCTTCTGTCTCCGTCTTCATGTTCGTAGAGGTAGGTTTCGGTGCTTAGATCGACCTTGATCCAGCTAAAAGCTTCAATTTCCTCACTAATTAGAAGCGATCTGCAACTTTCTCTGTGTTCTGAGGTTAGAGTCGCCTTGCCGGAGCTTCTCTCCGGGCTCATCTTCGATTTTATAACTTTTTTTGTACTTTTTTTTTTCTTTCGCATTAATTTTTATTTCCCTCTATTATTTTTGTCTGAGATCACGTTGCTTTAGGAAAATTAGGAGGAGAAAATTATAGAAAATGCGGCGTTGGCTAATTTTATTTGTGTTCATTAGCTGTTTTGTTACCTAAAATGGAAATATAAAAGACTTAATTGAGCTGAATTTAGAAATTGTGATTGCTCTAACTTTCCCATTTTGCCAATCTGGGCAATTGGGTTTTGTTGCTTTTGCATACTAGCCCTTTTGTCCAGTTTTCGCTTTAACTTTCAACTATCTCATGTGATCTATTTTTGAAAAATTCTCTACTGTTTTAAGTTTGACGCTACATTATTTCGGTTAATCTTATTGGACACTACTGAACTTTCTTTCTTCCTTTATGTTTTATTTATTTTTATCTTTGCTTCTTGACTAGGTTTTTTCTGATCTCATGCTTGTATTGGTACTCATTTGGGGTCTTTGGAGGCTGTTGTCAATCCGATATCTTTTGAGTTTTCCAGTTTCTTAATAATGTTGTAATTTTTGCCGACTTTTTGTTCTTTTTCTTTCCTCTAGGTGGATTGTTCCTTCAAAGTATTCTAGTTTGCTTCAGGAAGTTGATGTTCTTTGATTCTTTATTAACAGTAGTTTCTTTAAAATGCAAGTTTTATAGCATGTGATGCTTTCTTGTAAACTAGGGTTACCTGATTTTGCTTTAGTTTAAATGTCTGTTGAGATCTTTGTGCTTTCCCCTTTCCTAAATCTCATTCTGAATATCCATCTGTTTGTGTCTGTTATGCTGTATTGTTAAGTCTCTTTCAAATTTGTAAGTATTAACTTTTGTTATCATCAATGCATTCAACATTTGATTGCTTTAGACTGTTGTTAAGTGTACACTAATTTTTCACTTTGTGTAGGACACAGGTTTCCAAACAAAAATTTCAAAATTCTCACTAATATGGAGGGGGTTGCATGTTTTTATATTTTTTCCACACAAAGAATGTAGTGCAGCATAAGACACAATCATACAAACAATAGGATTTATGTATTAGATACGTGCAATTAGTTTCTAGATGGCAGTTGTAGACCAATAGAGCAAACTCAGATGAAGAATGAAGATTGATAAATGTTAGAATTGGTATAATAACATAGAGGCATTGTCCATGTGTTCATCTGCACTCTTTTATGGCTATTCTGCAGTTTGTGCTTATGTTTGTATGTTGTGTTGCTATAAATTGCAGGAAATGTCAGCTCCTGTTATTGAGGGAAATGATGCAGTCACCGGTCACATCATTTCAACAACCATTGGTGGCAAAAATGGTGAACCCAAACGGGTTAGTACTGGTTCTTTCTTTCTTCTTTTACCCCATTTGATGGCTACAATTTGACCAAACTCTTTCTTCTTCCCCTTTAATTCCATCTATTGCACAAAAAGTTGTACACTCTTCTCCTTCATAATCAAGGATTACTTGACTTGAGAGATGATAAATTCTTTTTGAACACTGTTCCTTGGTTCCTTTTGGTCATAAGAGGTGCTAACAGCTGAGACCCTTTACCTATGATTCTGATATATTGAACTTCTGAAGAATTATTTGGTTTTCCATTCTTTTTGTATTCTGAGGTGTTCCTCTGATGTTGGTTGCAGACGATCAGTTACATGGCAGAGCGTGTTGTAGGTACTGGATCATTTGGAATCGTTTTTCAGGTATGGATTTTACTTAATGGAACGAAGTATTCTCAATTTCTTTGCCTCATTTGAGTCCTTGGCACTCTTTTTTCTTTCAGGCTAAATGCATTGAAACTGGAGAAACGGTGGCCATAAAGAAGGTCTTGCAGGACAGGAGGTATAAAAATCGCGAGTTGCAGTTGATGCGCTTGATGGATCACCCAAATGTTGTTTCCCTGAAGCATTGTTTCTTCTCTACAACGAGTAAAGATGAGCTTTTCTTGAATCTTGTTATGGAATATGTACCCGAGACTATGTACAGGGTTCTGAAGCACTACAGTAGTATGAACCAAAGGATGCCACTAATCTATGTGAAACTTTATACATATCAAGTATGAATCCTTTTTCGTTTTGTGTTAGTTAACTCACTGTTGGTTTTTATGTTAGTAATCATTTATATTGGCTTATGCCCTTATAATAAATGGAAAAGAAAAAAAAAACCCTTTTCAGATTTTTAGGGGCCTGGCTTATATTCATGCTGTTCCTGGTGTTTGCCATAGAGATGTGAAGCCTCAAAATCTTTTGGTATGTGTTTTTTGTTTATTGTGTTTGTTCTCTTTAAAATGAATTGGATTATTTATCCCCCATTTTCCAATATACTTGGCAGGTTGATCCCCTCACCCATCAGGTTAAGCTTTGTGACTTCGGAAGTGCAAAGGTTCTGGTATGTCTTTCCTCACATCATTTAACACTTTACTTTTATTCAATTATCACACTATTATTTCTTTTTTTTTGTGTGGAATTTTTATGGCCAAATGACGATTTTCTTTGATGGTTGTTAATCTTTACTTCTTAATAAACCAATAATTAATCAGCTGCCTATTGGATGAAAAATAATGCATGATTTCAAAGCAAGATGTTATCGCCAGTCTGGCTATACTTAAATGACTTGTCTATGCTAAATGCTAAGAAAATCAGTTTCCTTTTATATTTCAGTTTAATGATTTTTTTTTTCTTTCTTTCAGGTCAAGGGGGAAGCAAATATATCATACATATGTTCTCGTTACTATCGGGCTCCTGAACTCATCTTTGGTGCAACAGAATATACAACATCCATTGATATCTGGTCAGCTGGTTGTGTCCTTGCTGAGCTCCTTCTAGGCCAGGTTATCGACTCTTTGTAAATAATATTCTTGTTCTTGGCCTAAGTTTATTGGTTAGACTATATTTGGTTTTTTGACTTATCAAAAGAATTTCCCGCTCTTCTACAGCCATTGTTTCCAGGAGAGAATGCAGTGGACCAACTTGTAGAGATTATCAAGGTCTAGCCTCACTTTCTA